CTACACATTTCATAATAACCAATACTCTCCGCACGCCGTGGCGCGCGGGGTTTAGTTTTATTATGAGACCCATGTTGAGCAGGTGCTTTACGAGGACATTTGTCTGCGTAATCTGACTCTGCTCGTTGGGCATTATAGATAAAACCCTCCTTTCTAGGAGAGAGATAATATCTCTCTCCAGAATATGGGTTGACTCTCCCCGGGCTTGTGAATACAGATAGCCCGAGAAGCGAGGGGTGGTGACGGTGACTTGGAGTCTGTAGCTCCGTGTAACTGTCTTGAGAAACCCAAGCAGATGTCGTGAGCATCTCCCGCTGTATGTTCCTTAGAGCCAGCTGAGATGTCACGTCTCTTCCCCTCTGAGTCTCTATTTGTTGTGTTATGGGGCCCTCCAGTGTCTGAGCACTGTGGTGCCCCATTTCGACAATCCCCACCGACACAGCGCATGCATGTGGCGGTGGTGCCCTTACGGCTCCAGCCGGCACTGCGCATGCGCGTGACGGTGGTGCCTTCACAACCCCAGCCGGCACTGCGCATGCACGTGACGGTGGTGCCTTCACGACCCCAGTCGGCACTGCGCATGCGCGTGACGGTGGTGCCTTCACGACCCCAGTCGGCACTGCGCATGCGCGTGACGGTGGTGCCTTTACAGCTCCAGCCGGCACTGCGCATGCGCGTGACGGTGGTGCCTGTCACTACCCGATCTGCAGCTCTGCCCGATCTGCAGTGCGCATGTGCGAGATGGTCCGCTATATTGGACAACTCCGGATGGCAACCCAAGTAGGACAACATTAACACAGTGGCTTTTGTCAAAGCTCAAAAGGAGATGAGTTATTGTTATTACAACGTGACTTCACTATTATTTAACAACTCTTTTTATTAGGTTATTTTATTTGGGGTTCAGTACATTGTCAGAATAAGTGAGAAATGAATTTAACTTCTGTTAGACAGCTATATGCCATACATTTTTGCATACATTCACAGTCAATATGTATTCAGTATGATAGCTGTCTAACATAAGTTAAATCCATTTCTCACTTATTCTGACAATGTACTTAACCCCAAATAAAAGAACCCAATAAAAAGAGTTGTTAAATAATAGTGAAGTCATGTTGCAATAACAATAACTCATCTCTCTCTCTCGTTTTATTTTTGAGCTTTGCCAAAAGCCACTGTGTCAATGTTGTCCTACTTGGGTTGCCGTCCGGAGTTGTCCAATATGGCGGACCATCTCGCACATGCGCACTGCAGATCGGGCAGAGCTGCAGATCAGGTAGTGACAGTGCCTTCACGACCCCAGCCGGCACTGTGCATGCGTGTGACGGTGGTGCCTTTACAGCCCCAGCTGGCACTGCGCATGCGCGTGACGGTGGTGCCTTCACAGACCCGTCAATTGTCCGCCCTTTGAGAGAGGCCGTAGCTGCTCTCAGAAGGGGAGCAGTTGACGGACTGTTTATTGTTTTTATTGTTTTTCTTTTCATTTTTTTGAGCTGCGCCCTTGGCTCGAAGCCTGGATGCGTCAGCGGAAAATGTTTTATGACAGAAAAATCAATAAGTGTGTGACATGTGTTTATGCGGACTTGAGGATGGTGTTGAGGCATCTCTCGAGGCGGCGGGAACACATTTAGAGCTGGGGAACCGTAGACTTCCAGCTCTGTCACAGAGGGGAGAAGGAGGGGCTGTCACGCCGCTCGCTTCTTCTTCTTCGACTGCTGGCCGAAATTCTGGGTTGGCTGCACCTGGGCTGCAACCGGAACCGGAGATTTTCTAGGCCAGCTCGCCCTCGTCCCCTGCCTGGGCTGGGGACTTGGGGCGGACTGCGACCTCTGCGTTTTCGGTATTTTGAACCGAGCAAGGTTCAGGGCAGCTTGGACGAAGGGCTGCCGCTGCGAAGGCAGCGGCTGGGCCCTTCGAGAGAGGTGGAGGGCCTCGTCCTCCTTCTTTTTCGACTCGCATCTCCTCTGCATGGAGGCAAGAGCGGAGCCGAAAATCCCCTCGGGAAAGATGGGCATGTCAAGCACATCCTCCTTTTCCCGGTCTGGGAGGTTAGTGAGGTTGAGTCATCTAGCTCTGTCCTGCACCACCATGATCCCCATTGTTTTGCCCGTGGCCTGGACGGCGCAGCGTTGGACACGGAGACAAATGTCTGTGACCGCGGCCAACTCGTCCAGAACGGCCGGTCCAGGATTACTCAACATATCCTCACAGAGCTCCGCTCGGTATGCGGTTAGCAGTGAGGAAACGTTCAGAGCCCTGGCGGACAACGCTGCGGCTCTGTAGGACCGTTCAGTCATGGTCGACTGGAAACGGTCCACCTTCGCTGGCAGCGTGGGTTTCTGCTTGGTGACGGGCCCATCCTCGGTAGGAGGTGGGCTGCCACCAGCAGTTCCATCGACGGTATGCGGAGCAGGCCGAGCCTCTCCATACCGTCGCAGTCTAGGGAGGAGGCACCCTGGATTGGGGCCTTGTTGCTAAAGGGTCGGTCCCTCCACGAGACCGATACCTCATCCAACGTCTCCGGGAAGACCGGGAGGAGTTGCTTCCTTGTCCTCGTTGCTTGGGGAGAATGTTTCCCCTCGTAACGGGACCTGGCGGTCTCCTTGGCCATTTCGGGCCACGGGATGTCTAGCCTGGACGCAGTGCGCTGACACGCGGCCTGCAGGTCCATGCTCAGACAGGGCGAAGCTGGTGTGCTATCGCCCGGGAGAGCAGCCATCGCTCCCGGCTTTGCCGTTTGAGCCGATGACATGAAGATATCTTCTTCTTGCTCATCCGAATCAGACAGGAGGAACTCAGAGGTGTCCTCTTCGTCCTCCATGTAGTCTAATTCCAGGAGATCCTCCGCGGGCGAGACCATGGTGAGGTCTCGCCGGGAGCTCCCGCCTGGTGAGGCGTGGGGCTCCGTTCCCGCGTCTCTTGCCGCCACCGGGTCCCGGCCTGACACGGCGTGGGATCCCGGTTCCGCAGCTGCCGCTGTTAGTGAGCCCCAGACCGACACAGTGAGGGGCTCAGTCTCTGCGGCGGACGCCCCCGTGTCTTGATTGCCAAACGGCGAATCAGTGGACATGAGGGAGTCCTGTTCCAACAAGCTAGCTTGGTGTGCTAGCCGTCGGTGGAGGCTCTTTATGGTGAAACGGGCACAATGCCCGCACGAGCCGGGGTTGTCGATAGCCTCCTGGGCGTGTTCCAGCCCGAGGCAGGACGAGCAGACCTGGTGTGAGTCTGTGCCTGCTATCTTCAACCCGCAGCCGCATGACCGAGCCTCCGAGTCCCTGACTCCTCTGGTGTGAGTGGGAGAGGCGTCCATCTTGTTCGCCTCGTGGCGTGGAGAGGACCTGCTCGTAACAGGTACGTCGTTGAGAGAAAAGTGTTACCAACCCGTCCTTAATCCGGAGAAAAAGGGACAGTATGGGTCCTTTGTTCTCAAAGAATATTGACTGGTGTGTCAATATACTTCTAATCCTTTTCTCCTCCATGAGAGAGAAAAAGAAAAGCGTCCTCGCTACCGTGGTGTCGGTAGTAAGGGGAAGCTAGCTAGCAACAGGTGCGTAGCTAGCTTGAGAAAAATCAAAACCTTACCTTACTTTCCGGGGAAAGAAACGGTGAGGTCGATTTTAATACTAACTGGCGTTAGTATTACCGTCTTCTTGCGAAGCAGAAGGAGTAGCCGGCGAGCGCCCGTCGACCGAAATGTTTTGGATTTGGGTTCAGTCTGTGGACTGTTAAGCTTGTCCGGCTACTGTAGAGATGTGCTCTGAAGCGAGAAGAGGTGTTTGAATGACGCATGCGTCGTGGCGCAAGCTACTTATAGGGGGTGATTCCCTGACGTTGACGTCAAGATCACCAGCCAATCAGGATTGGCGTAATGAGATTGATGCTTCTGTTTGCTCCGCGATGAGGCGCATCCCATAGTGAGACATCGAACGGAGTGTTATGAATGAGAACACATATTATTCTAATACGGGTCCTTTTTGACCCACTTGTGTAGGATCCAGTCACTCGTGCATCTAAGGGTTAACAGGTCCCACGTCATGGCCATTTCTACTGATCATAATTCCATTGTTGAGGTCTGCTAGAATAGATCTACATTGTTCAATGTTTCAAAATCGCATTGGTTTTTATCATACAGCATCTCTGTATAGTATGTGTATTCAATCTCTGTCCCTATCACTGTGCTCTGATTGGAATGGAAAAAGAAAAATCTACAACGAGGCGTTCTGTGTTAGAGTTTTACTCGCTACAGGGTGTACTTTGAGGTTTTGTGACTCTGCAGACCGTTTACATGCACAAAAAGCTACATAACACACAAGGGGACAGGTAACAACCAGACAAGCATGACATGGGACCTTTAACACGTGGTGGAATGTTATGGATTCCCTCAAACACTTTCATGTAGTTATAATAAATGGGAGATTCCAAGGCACTCCGAGGCCAGTGTGGAGATATAACCTTACACCTGGTCTTGGATCTTCCCCTCGGTCTCCTCTGGACGTGCCTGAAACAACACCCTAGGGAGGCAGCCAGGTGGCATCCTTACCAGGTGCCCGAACCACCTTAACTGGCTCCTTTCTACGTGAAGGTAGGAGTCCCTCCCAGATGACTGAACTTCTCACCTTATCCATAAGGGAGATGCCAGCCGTGCTCTGGAGGAAACACAATCTGGTCGCTTGTATTCGTGATCTCGTTTTATCGGTCATGACCCATCCTTCATGACCATAGGTGAGAGTTGGAAAGAAGATGGATCAGTAGACTGAGAGCTTTGCCTTCTGGCTCAGCTCTCTCTTCGTCACAACCCTATGGCAAAGCGACGCCAATACCGCTCACGTTGCTCCGATTCTCAGTCCAATCTAACGCTCTATTATCCCCTCACTCATGAACAAAACCCTGAGATACTTGAACTCCTTTAGGGTAAGGACTCATTCTGTTAAGATTATGTTTTAAACAGGACCCAGGCGCAGGCAATGACTGAAGATGTTTAAATGGTTTATTGTTTCGGAGACTCAGGCAGGTTTGGTGATTATGGAGGTCCGGAGTGGAGGTAGGCAGTTCAGGCTGGACTGATAACTAGGCAGGCAGGTATGATGCAGGAAGAAGCAGGCAGGTTGGCTGGAAGCTCTGGTGGACGATGGCCGAGGGATTGCACTGGAAACACAAGGAGAAACTAGTTACAAAAAGTACGGAATTACACGCAGACAGGATAACTGAATGGGCAGCCAGGAGGATGTAATAACACTGGTGTAGAAAACAATCTGGCGGTGAGTTGCTGGGAGACTGGAGTAGATAAACTGTGTCCTGATTAGATGATGAGGGACAGCTGAGTCGGACGGCCAGGTGAGAGCAATCAGGCTGCTGCCTGCAAGGGAAACCACACCCTCTCCACACACACACAGGGGAACAAACAGGAACACAGTTTGGACCGTGACACATTCCCTACTCGTAGTGTACAGTTAATTGGTTTCCTAAACTTACAAGTGATCAAATCATTGATCATGTATTAGGTTAATATTAGACTTCATTTCATCCTCTGAGAAATTCACAAGTAACCAACCAGTTTATATTTAAGAGGTGCAACATTAGTGTTATGTACACACAACTGCCACTATAATCCTGTATGGTATTCGCCAAAACAAACTCCTGCAAAACAGTGTCCATTTCCATTTATTCTACTCCCCATAACAGATTTTGCAGGTAAACATCGGTGTATATGGTTTACAAACTGGTGAGGATTGCAGGTCTGCTCCTCACAGACCCCTCCCCTCTTCTCCTGCTCCCATTTAAGTTAATTTGTTCTGCTATCAGGGATGTTGTAGGGACACAGGCGAGCCGCTTCCCACAAATGGCTCCCCGGGGAAATGCAGGAGCAGGAGAGCAGAGAACAAGGGGACATGTCTGAAACCAGGACATATGGACAATACAGGCTTAATCAGGATATATGAACGGAGAGGAGGAGCAACAAGGAAATATGGGCTGAGGAGCGATGCAGAAATAAAATAAAAGGTTGTGTGTGGAGGGCAGGAAAAAGATAAAAGAGAGAGAAGGAAAGGCCAGTGAGCTCATGAGAGGAACAACGAGTAAAGAGGACAAACAATACAAATATCTCAGAGGTTTTGCTTGCCCAGGTGTGTGTCTCTGTGGCTTCATGTCTCTATGTGTGTGTGTTAAGGATGAATGCACTTGCAAGAGGGGAGAGACGGATCGGAGGCACTGACTGAAGTGACACTGCATCCCTCCTCTCATCATCCGTAAGACTCAGGAGGCACCACACACACACGCACACACACACTCACTCACACAAGCACACACACGCATTAGCTACGAGTCTAGTGTAGAAAGCGAATGAGAAACATCGTCATCATCATCAGGCTGAGGCACCACATCAAACCATGTTTCTGTTTCAAAGGGGGGAAATCGTTCAGCCTTGCTCCTATAAGAGGGATTTTCTACACGGACCACTATTGCGGTAAGCATGTTGTAACTTCCGGTTGTTGTTGTCATTGTCATCTCCGGGTATCCCGTGTGCCTGTTCTGTTGCTGATAGCTTATTATCTTAACTGAATCGATCGTTTTAAAACTCTTGATCACGGCAACTAATCACACGTTACTACAGCTTAAGCACTCACAACTCTCATTATCTTAGCGACTGTAACTCAGCAGTTGCCTACACTCTTTTCGGGTTTGCTAACGGTAGCTACTTTAGCTTGATAGCTAGCCATGGCTCCTTCCCCACCCTCGGGTGTTATTTCCTGCTCTTCCTGTCTCATGTTTGGTTACTTCCCTACCTCCTTTACTGTTACCGATACATGTGTTAAATGTAGTATAGTTGTTAGGTTGGAGGCGGGAATCATAACCATAGAAGCCCGGCTCCGCATCTTAGAAAGTAACTCAGCTACAGTAAAGCCCATGTTAGCCGGTGCGGACCGGCAAAAGGTAACTCCTATTAGCCGTCCCCCGGCAACTCCCGAGCAGCAGGGAGACTGGGTGACTGTTCAGAAGGGGCATAACGCGAAACCCGCAGGTCCCCACCAACCCGTTCACGTATCTAACAGATATTCCCCACTCAGCGAGACACCCGCTGAGTAGCCAACTCTGGTTATTGGTAGCTCTATTATGATCCTATACCGGATCTCCTCTCTGGTAAACAAAAACACCCTGAAAACTCTGGCAGGAGCACTCATTCAAGGGTAGGCTACTATGACTGCTTGCACGTCATGGTACCATAGCACCTCCAAGGCGCTAAAAATAAAACTTCAAACATCGCAAAATAAACTGGTCAGACTACTGCTTGACCTTTCATCTAGAACCCACCTCACCTCTGCCCACTTTGACAACCTAGGATGGCTTAGAGTAGACGACAGAGTACAGCTACTTGCAATGGGCCTGGTCTACAAGATCCACTACACCTCTATGGTACCCATGTACATGTCAAAATTCTTCCCAAAGGTCAAGGAATACCATGATCATAACACCTAGAGGGAGCTCCACAAATCATGTGAAACCCAGATTTGGCACAAAAAAGGGGGAATACACATTTCGCAATTATGCCACATCAAGGTGGAACGCTCTTCCCACAACTGTAAAGGAAAGTAAAACTGTACTTACCTTCAAAACCTCTCTTAAAGAGCACCTTCGGGGGAGAGCATTGCAAAACTGGCCCCGGTAATGGTACAAATCTCAACCTGTCATTCAATGGACAGCTTCCCCCCCCCCCCCCCATCTATGTATATACTCGCATTTTAGACTCTGTTACTAACTGTATATCTGTAGACTTGGTGTGTCTTAAATGTCCGGTTAGGATGTATTAGAACGACATCTAAAATGAAAATTGTAAATAAGCAATCTGTATGTAAAAAACCACCTGTATGTAAATTGTAAATAAGCCATCTGTATGTCAAATATGTCTTATATGTCTTAAATGATATGATGAATTGGAAATGGGGGACCCTGATGTAAACAAGACGAAAGTCTTTCTCTGGTCTGCATCCCCTTAACAATTGTATGTTTTGAGCTGTACTGTACTGTACCCAATATACAAGCTGTTAATAAACTTTTCAATCAATCAATCAATCAGATACGTGAATTTAGAGACCGAAGCCTCCACAGTCACATGCATTCCGGGGGCCAGAGCGGGCGACGTTGAGGCACATCTTAAACTGCTGGCTAAAAATAAACGTAAATACAGTAGGATTGTTATTCACGTCGGTGGTAATGATGTTCGTTTACGCCAATCAGAATGCACCAAACTTAATGTGGAGTCGGTGTGTAGTTATGCTAAAACAATGTCGGACACCGTAATCTTCTCTGGTCCCCTCCCCAATCTGATCAATGATGACATGTATAGCCGCATGTCATCATTTCAGCGCTGGTTGTCTTGGTGGTGCCCAGCAAACAATGTGGGCTTCGTAAATAATTGGACAGCCTTCTGGGGAAAACCTGGTCTGATTAAGAGAGACGGCATTCATCCTACTTTGGAAGGTGCAAATCTAATTTCGGCAAACATTTCAGGGCTTTGTGGACTTAATCTATGACAAACGAGTTGAGACCAGGAGGCAGAGTCACAGTCTTACACGCTTCTCTGCGCTCTCTCCTAGGCAGTCATCCATAGAAATCCCGAACCCAATAAAATACCCAATATTAGCGGTGTGTGTGTCTGCCCAAGGACAATTTAAGGTAAAACCTAATAGAGGTGTCATACATAATAACCTAATAAAAGTAAATATAACAACTAAGTAAGTGCAACAAAACAGGAATATTAAATGTGGTCTCTTAAACATAAGATCTCTAGCATCTAAAGCAATATTGGTAAATGATTTAATATCAGATTATAATATTGATATATGCTGTCTCACTGAAACTTGGTTGAGACATGAAGAATATGTCAGCATAAATGAGGCCACTCCACCCAGCCATATCAATACTCATATTGCCCGAGGCGTGGGCCGAGGAGGTGGAGTTGCAGCAATCTTTGACTCAAGTTTACTTATCAATACTAAACCAAAATTAAATTATACCTCCTTTGAAAGTCTCGTTTTTAGTCTTACGCATCCGACCTGGAAAACTTTGCAGCCAATCTTATTTGTTACAGTGTACCGTGCACCAGGTCCTTATTCAGAATTCTTATCAGAATTCTCTGAGCTTTTATCAACTTTGGTACTTAAAACAGATAAAGTAATTATCGTAGGTGACTTTAATATTCATGTTGACGATGATAAAAATAGCCTTACTGTTGCATTTAACTCTATATTAGATTATGTTGGTTTTTGTCAGAGTGTAAATAAACCAACCCACTGCTATAATCACACTCTCGACCTTGTTCTGACTTATGGTATTGAAATTGAGCAACTATTAGTCGAACCGCATAATCCTGCTTTATCCGACCATTTCTTAGTAACTTTTGAAGTACTGTTACTAGACTACAAAGCATTAGTCAAAAGCTCCTGCAGCAGAAACCTATCTGTTAGTGCTATAGCCAAATTTAAGGAAGAGATTCCACCAATACTTAACTCGATAGCATGTCTGCATGTAGGGGAGGAAACTTATACAAAATGTACACCACCCCAAATTGATCATGTTGTTGATAGTGCTACAGATGCGCTGCGAATAAAATTAGACTCTGTTGCTCCTTTGAAAAAGAAGAAAATAAAACAACATAGATTAGCTCCATGGCATAATGCCGAAACCCGCAACATAAAGCAAAAGTCGAGACAACTTGAAAGGATATGGCGTTCCACTAAACTTGAAGAATCTCGTTTAATTTGGCATATTACTCTCAATGAATATAAGAAAGCACTGCGTAAAGCGAGAGCAGCCTACTACTCTGCATTAATAGATGAGAATAAGAATAATGCAATATTTCTTTTCAGCACTGTAGCCAGGCTGACAGAGAGCCACAGCTCGATTGAGCCTTCTATTCCCATAGCACTCAGTAGTAATGATTGTATGTGCTTTTTTAACGATAAAATGGTTACTCTTAGAAACAAAATTAATGACCTCTTGCCTTTGACCAGTATAGTGTTATCAACAGCTCCCGGAAACGTAAGTTCTAATATTACACTAGATAGTAAACTAGAATGCTTTTCAGCCATAAACCTTGAACAATTAAATTCAATGATTCTCTCTTCTAAACCATCAACGTGTATGTTAGACCCAATTCCAACTAAGCTGTTGAAGGAAGTTTTTCCATTAATTAGCACTTCTTTATTAAATATTATGAATATGTCTTTATTATCAGGCTATGTTCCACAATCATTCAAAGTAGCAGTGATAAAACCGCTTCTTAAAAAGCACAACCTCGATCCAGAGGTTTTAGCCAATTATAGACCTATTTCTAATCTTCCGTTCCTCTCAAAAATTCTCGAGAAAGCGGTCGGAAAACAGTTGTGTGATTACTTAAAAAACAATGATTTATTTGAAGATTTTCAGTCTGGCTTTAGAACACATCATAGCACAGAGACAGCTCTGGTTAAAGTCACAAATCACATTCTAATAGCCTCTGACAAGGGACTTGTCTCTATTCTTGTTTTGCTCGATCTCAGTGCTGCATTTGATACTATCGATCATGATATCTTATTGCAAAGACTAGAGCACTTAGTTGGCATACAGGGAACTGCTTTAGGCTGGTTTAGGTCCTATCTATCTGAACGCTCTCAGTTTGTACGTGTCAATGATGAATCTTCCACGCAAACCAAAGTTAGCCATGGAGTGCCACAGGGCTCAGTGCTCGGACCTATTTTGTTCACATTATATATGCTTCCGTTAGGCAATATTATAAGGAATAATTCTGTAAATTTTCATTGTTATGCGGATGATACTCAACTATATTTATCAATCAAGCCTGATGAAATTAATCATCTAAATAAAATTCAAGACTGCCTCAAGGACATAAAAACGTGGATGACCTTAAACTTTTTGATGTTAAACACGACCAAAACTGAAGTTATTGTACTTGGCCCGAAGAATCTACAAAACAAATTATCTAAAGATATACTAACTATGGATGGCATTAATTTGGCCTCCAGTGAGACTGTAAGGAATCTTGGTGTTATATTTGATCAGGATTTATCCTTTAACGCCCACATAAAATCAATTGCAAGGACCGCCTACTTCCATCTACGTAACATTGCAAAAATCAGGCATATCTTGCCTCAAAACGATGCAGAGAAACTAGTCCATGCATTTGTTACTGCAAGGCTGGATTATTGTAACTCTTTATTATCAGGGTGTACCAAGAAGTCAGTCAAGTCGCTTCAGCTGATTCAAAATGCTGCAGCTCGTGTACTAACCAGAGTTAGGAAAAGGGATCACATTACTCCTGTTCTGGCTGCCTTACACTGGCTCCCTATAGAACACAGGATAGAATTTAAAATGATTCTTCTCGCCTACACAGCCCTTAATGGGCAGGTGCCATCTTACCTTAAAGAACTCATTATACCCTACTATCCTACTAGGGCATTGCGTTCCAAGAATGCAGGGTTGTTGGTTGTTCCTAGAGTCTCTAAAAGTACAATGGGAGCCAGAGCCTTTTCTTATCAAGCTCCACATTTGTGGAATCAGCTTCCAGTTTGTGTTCGGGCGGCAGACACCCTATCCGTTTTTAAGAGTGCGCTTAAGACCTTCCTTTTTGATAAAGCTTATAGTTAGGGCTGATTCGATTCAGCCCCTAGTTTTGCTGATATAGGCTTAGTTTGTCGGGGGACATCTTATTTCTTCCTTCTCTCTGTCTATACCTGTGTACTCTCATGTTCCGATTAACCCAGCTTCCCCAAATTTCTTTCTTTTTGGTGTCTATATACGCTGGGATCCGGAGTCATGGATGATCCTGCGGTCCTGTGTTCTGCATCGCGAGCCCTGGATCTTGAGTCGTGGCTGTGGTCCTGGATGGATATCCTCGTGGATTCATCTTCCTATTATACACACATGCATTTCCAAACATTTGGACTACCTATGTTGCAAATGTATTATCTTTTCAATTTACACACGGCATCTATTGCACGTCTGTCCGTCCTGGGAGAGGGATCCCTCCTCTGTTGCTCTCTCCCTCAGGTTTCTCCCATTTGTCCCTTTAAAACTGTGGGTTTTCTTCAGAAGTTTTTCCTTGTACGATGTGAGGGTCTAAGGACAGAGGGTGTCGTATTGTCATACTGATATTGTGTACAAACTGTGAAGTCCACTGAGACAAATGTAACATTTGTGATATTGGGCTATATAAATAAACATTGATTGATTGATTGATTGATTTTAAGTCAGGTATGCACAGGAAGTACAAGCTAAGATGGATGGAGCAATGCATTTAAACCATGGAAGTACGAAGCGAACATCCGTGTCTCGTTCATTCCGATAAAAAATGCTCAGTGGGACATGAACTAAAAGTGGACCGATTGTACAAATACATACAGATCTTCTCTCGATCTACAGGTCGTCTTCCTCATCGATTGGGCCCATCAAGAATGTGCATTTGTTCTTTCCTTAAACCCTGCCTCCCAAATGTTATGTTTCATCTCATTCAAATGAATGTATAGGAAAGATAACTGGAAATACTGGATATCAACTAGATTAAGGTTTACAGATGCATCTTTCCCAATATAAGTCAATAGGAATAAGTATTGTTGGGCCCAGTGGTGGATATTGATATGGGCGACATGGGCGGTTGCCCAGGGCTGCATTTGCGCAATGAAAAAGCACAATGAAAAAGTTTAGAAAGAAAAGGAAAGAAGAAGCAAAGAAATGCTCAAAAGATAAACATATGTATGCACCTGTAACGACGAAGAAAGGTTCACCGCCCAGGGCACCATATCAGCTAGAACCACCACTGGTTGAGCCCAATGGCATCCTGTAACTGACACGTAAGTTGCAATACCACAGTTTGGCCACTACGAAAATAATGCTTGCCGCACTTCCTGGGGGCTTGATAGGAACACGCAATAAAAAGCTTTATCCAGTAAGTCCAGTGAGAAACCATACGCAGGTGTAGCCTCACAACACCTTGCTTTATCCCTGCAGGTCCCATGGCAGCAGAGAACAAATTATTAGAGCCACTGAAACTGATAACTCAGCATATGTTACGATTATTCTGGAGTCCAAAAATAAGATTGGGAAGGCAACTCACCCCTTGTGTACACATATTTTTTTGTAAGATCCTATCATGTTAAAGCATGAACATTAAAAGCCACTCTTTTTTATCCATCCACCTGGAGCTTATCTCCCACTGGCACACTGTTACAACTGTTACAAGATAACTCTTAGATGCAGTCAGGGCCTGTGCTATCTTGAGCGGAATTAAAGGTAAACTAAAATGGTTCCTTTCTTCCTTTCATCCTTTCTTCCTTCTTTCCTTCTATGAGTCACTCTGAAACACTATGAGTAAAACTGTGACACACAGGAATGGGAAAATACAATATACTGGGAATTCAAGTTATTCCCAGTATTTCTCAAAACATAAAAATGTCAATTTTAAAAAGCATGTGTGAATGATCCTTGGTTGAAGTAATTACATTTGGTCCCAAAGTCATTTATAACGCATTATGGCGCCAATTAACTATCATTTCATCTAAAAATAATCTAATAGATTAATCAATTGTTGTCCCAAACGTCCAAGGATATTTGTTCACAGAGCCTGCATCATCCGTGAACCTCACAAGCAAGTCAGACTTTTCACAGAAGGTTGAACGTCTGAACCCTCTGACAGCTCCATCCCAAACATTTGAGCGAGTTATGTTGAATCTGCTGACAGTGTTGTGGTCTATGGCATCTGCTAAATTTTCAATAATATGGGCTGCAGATATACTTGTGTCCCTTAAACGACATAAATAGATAACAGAATACAATTAAGCATATCAAATAATGTTCTAGTACAGACTCTGGAAAAAGGACTTTAAATACTATAACACTGTTTTTTGTATGTTTCATCAAATGTGATTGAAATGTTTCTTCTAATGTTACCTTGACCTCCAATACCACACAAGTTTTCCATTCAAAGATTAGAGCCAATACAATTACAACTTACACAGCTTCCTTTGCAGGGTCAGCGCTTATGGGCACAACATTGAAATCTTGACTCCCGTCCTCATCTTCATCAATTACAATGGGAGCATACAACTGTGTGTATGTGCTGCAAAAAACAAAATGTTATGAAAACAATGGCGCACGCAGCACAACACTTTATTCTACACCTTGAATCTTGCATGGTGAACGTTGCAACCTTGCATGGTTGCAAGGTTAAACTAAACATTACCTGTACAATGGGTTGACAGTGGACCTCACAGCAGTCATGTTGGAAGGGGTATCTGGAACACTAATCATGAATCATTAGTCTAGGCCTCTAGGGTCTCTGTCTTGTGTAATAATATGAATACAGATCAGTGGCTCAAGTCAATACCTTGTAGCAGTGTTCCTCCAACCTTGAGAAGTGCCCTCATTGGGGTCATCAGTGTCCGAAATGATCTGATTTGAGATGAACAGTTTAGCATACATGTGAACAAATCACAATATTACATACAGTTTAAAAACGCAATAATACATTAAATGTCTAATGTAATAGTTTTACCAAAAAGGCATTTTTTAAACGTTTATTTCTTTTAATTTAAATGTTTTACATGGATTATAAGGAAGGAAACAGCACGAATACCCTACCTCTTCCTTTTCACTCTGATATGATGCCCTGGAAGAGCTGTTTGAAGGAAAGAAGGATGGAAGAAAGTGAGAGAGGAAGACAGAGAGAAAAAAGAAAAGAAACAAAGAAATACAGAATTAATGTACGAGTATTTGCCATGACTGACATTAACACGTTTTTTTAAATCCAGTCCAATTAATGCATTTCGATTTAAGTACTACATTTATAATTGGCTTGTGGTGCAGACAAATTCCATACATTGTGTTTTTTGGGATATAATTTCCTAAAATTGTATTAGGAATCTTAGGATAGTAGATTGTGGCCAAGGAGGAATAATAAAAATAATAATAACAACACCAACATTTTCTAAATATATAGAACATTAACCTTAATGAAATCAATAACCTTGGTTCACATGGTTATTTTCATTTTGCTATTTTTCTTTCATTTTCCCCCTTTTGTTGATTGTTATTTTATTACATTAACATGTCATGTAACTGTCTTTTTTTTAATATATATATTTGTTGTGTATATATATATATATATATAAATTATTTATATTTATGTATAGTGATGCAGGTAACACCTGAAATGCAGCTGTATTAGCATACTTACAATACAAAAAGTAAACGTTTGGTTGCACACGAAAGAAGGGATATTCACATCATGTAGTCAAAGAGATTAACTCTGATAACGGGTCCAACAAATGCAGTCAAAACCCTTTAAAGAGTAAGTCACCACTGCATTTCTCCAAAAGTTTATAATACACAGTGTCAAGAATTAACCTTTTACCTTGTTTTCTCTGCAGTGCTTTTTGGAGTACTTTCATGCTCAGGTTCCCAGGGCTGAAAAATACAGTAAAAAAAGTATTCATTGTGCAGCCCCAGTGACCTTACTTGATCTGTAAATGCTGCATGTGTCGCCAGACTTTTTTTTAGCCATTTTATGTGAATCCACTTGAAAAAATTATGCACCTTTTGGTTGGGAAATTGACATAAAAAGTTGATCTGCTTGTGTGTGTCCAAACTTTCTATAAACTCTTATGAAGTATGTGAATTCATTTGGAAATGATGCGCCTTTTTGCAATAAGCCAGTAAGCCACTACCACTGCTATGCCCCCTGTGAGCCAATTGACACACACACACACACACACACACACACACACACACACACACACACACACACACACACACACACACACACACACACACACACACACACACACACACACACACACACACACACACACACACACACACACACACACACACACACACCAGTGTGTCAGCAAGGTCAACCTCAGTCCCTCAGTCCCTCTGTTGCGTCTCACAAAGACTTCCCGATCAGAGTCTGATTCACCTATGGTAAAGCAGCTTGTGAGTGACATTTTGATTGCTGACCAACCTGAAATTAAATCTGCATAGCCTGAAAAAAAGGATTTACCTTTGTCATAATCTGATTCAAGACTAGGGATGTCCCGATCACCTTTTTTTGCTCCCGATCCGATTCCGATCATTTGATTTTGACAATCTGCCGATACCGATTTTTCCCGATCCGATCTTTATGCAATGCATTAAGAGAAAAAAAAAAGGTAACAGATAACGGCTGGCCATCCAACGCGATGAATTCAGCTATCTTGGCTGTTATTTTGTTTTCACTGTTCTGGGGCAGTTTCTCTTTCCTTTTAAAAGTCTCTGAAAGTGTCGGTTGTTTCAGTGCCGTTACCTGAGTGGCCGCTGTGTACTCGTCATGTTGTTGTTGGTGTTTGTTTCTCAGGTGGCGTATTAGATTGGTCGTGTTGAACGTAGCTCTGTTCTTTCCACCACGCGGAACCTCCGTCTTGCAAACATTGCATCTGGCTGTTACACTGCCTTCGCTTTACATTTTATAATATTTCCAAACTCCTGACATTTTCTCTATCCCAACTCCCGAGTCACCAGCTGAACGTAGCCTCTCGTTAGCTTACTGCTACTATTAGACACTGCGCCCACTCTGTTGCCAGGTTTGAGAGAAATAAGCAACCAGGTCTGAAAACAAGCCCAAAAGAAGCAACACATACATGATGTTGTGTAATTTTAAACCAAAATGAAGGCCTCAGGATGACTTTAATACGTGAACATGGTCAGTTTTGTTTTGTAACATTAAATAAAATAATAAAAAGATTTTATAAAAAAAAAAAAAAAAAAAAATTCCAGATCCCCGATTTTTTTCTCCCGATTCCGATCTTTTGAAAATCACGTGATCGGCTCCGATCCCCGATCACGTGATCGGATCGGGACATCTCTATTCAAGACATATAAAGAGAGCAATTCGGTTGTAGGTTTTCCCTATTTCCGTTTTATACTCTCTCAGATTAAATGGCGTTGAAGTACCAGGAATATTAATGACTTCTGATGTGTCTGGGTAAATGAGGACATAGGGGCCCTCATATCCGAATTAAAGTCAGTCATCTTCTTGACTGCCAATCCATGCAACCCAGCTGCATCAGTGTCAGGATCCAGAATCAGTGGAAGAGTTTTCCCTCTGACAGGTTTCATGATGTTCTTTTGAAGAGACATGATTCCAATATTTATCTGTGCAAAGAAAATAAATTAGGTGTAATCAACTTGCAAATCAGATTCTATCTCAATGCTTTTATCTGGTTAAATAAAGGTTAAATAAAATAAATAAAAACTTGGTACATGAAACCACACAATTAACAGTGGATAGTAACTATTATTATACAAGTCATTATGTGCTGTAATATCTCAGATAAGTGTGCAGACCCTGTGTAGCAGAAAATGCTTAGAGAAAAACACTATACAACAATATACATACATACAGGCATGTATGTATGTATGTATGTACAAGTCAAAACTACCATAATTATTCCCTGATTGGCAAACAGACAAACAAAAATAAAATGCCAATAACAAAAACACTGCTAAAATGGCTATTCCCTTTTATGCAATTCATAGCAGAAACGGATGTAATACATTATTTTAATTAAACGATTTCTAGAAAGTTGTCCAGTTACAAAAAAAAAGGATGAAGACGCTTTACCATTACTTGGATACATCACATAGGCCTGCTTATAACTTATATATTCTCAACCATGGTGATGTTTGACAAATGCGGATAACCAAGAAGATTTTACACAACTAAATACAACAACTTCTTAAACCAAACCTGCTAGTGCATCTTTTTGAACTTAGCTGACCATGACCAAGACGTTTTAGAGTTAACCACATACATGATGTAATTTTCAGACACACATTTTTCCCTTTAATCATGATTTACTAATAAATCTGAGCTGTCCAATTGTAACACAGTAAAAGTAATTATTTTATCACCTAAAACAGGTACCATCTATCTTGCCTAGTAAACCATATCTTCCAGCACTTCCTCCCCCATATTGGCTACCTGTACTTTACTTGTCTGTTCTTTCTTCTTCACTTTTCTCTTCTGGCAAGAGAAATTAAGCCTTTCGTCTGACTTCTTACTTCTGTACTCGAGGAAAGTTTTCAGGGATGGCATTTTTGGGGCAGCAGCTAACGTTACACAAACAGAGAAAAACAATGTTATGATAACCAAGCTGAACTTAGCCTGGGTTATTTATTTGCATTCACATTATATGCGAGTATGAGTTCAAACCTTATGTCTATGGTTCAAACATGAATCACGAGACAGGCTTAAAGGTTTTACAGAGCATTAGGGGCATTCACACCGCAGTACTTTTCCCACAAAGGTTCATGAGAACTTAGTTCATGAGAACTCTTTAGTTCTCGTGAACTAAGTACACAGATCGCGTTCACACCGGAATAAATCCCTGGGGGTGGATTAGGCAAATGAAGCCGCTGATGTCACTTCTTCTTCTTCTGCTTTGGGTTTACTGGCAGGCCGCAAACCACTTCACGACGTATAATGCCGCCCAAAGTCCCCGGCCGGAAGTCCCCGGAGTTGGGGACTGGCTTCAGTAGAAGCTGCTGGGAGTCCCAGCAGCTTCTACTGAAGCCTTCCGAATAAATCGCCAGAACGCCGACACCTCCTCATCTCCACCGCTCCCATGTTTTATTTTGTGTTGCCATAAGTTAGTCTCTGCGTTTCTGCGCTGGGCTAATGCTAATAATGCTAATGCGAGGATAATAAAATGGCGGCTTCACAAAACTTTTTGGGAGTTTTACGGGGCGTGGTTTGCAATCCGCCCAGCCAATCAGAAATATAGCTCTTTTCTCACAAGAGAGCCGCACGAAAGTCCCTGCTCTCTAGCAGGGACTTTCGTGGGGGTAAAAAGGTTCTCATTAACTAATTTTAGTACCGGCTCTTTTTGGTGTGAACGCGACAAAAGAGTTCTCATGAACTAAGTTCTCATGAACCTTTGTGGGAAAAGTACTGCGGTGTGAATGTGCCTAGTGTTACACAGTTTGAGTTGATGTTTTACCTGGAATCGGGCCACTGAAGTCCGGTTCATGTTTAGTTTCTTTTAATGCAGCCAATGACTGTCCACAAGAACTGCAAAAATGTTGAAGTGACTGAAATGTCTTCCCACAACGCGGGACAATACATAATTTCAGAGTCAGAAGTCGCGCGCGCAATGGGCGAAAACCATAGGCGAAAACACGCAGAGTAAAACCGCCCGGTGCCTTCGAATATTCTAGACTTTCGGTCGCTGACCAATGACGAAGCGACATTTCTCTTGACTGGCAGCAAAAACAACCAATCACAGCAGTGCTTCTCTGGCTGGCTCTGTCCAATCACAAACAAGAAGTGTTCTCCCTAAAGGAATACCCTTTCCGTCCAATGTGAAATGCTGTGGTGTTTTCTGAAATGCTGTTGTGTTTTGTGAAATGCTGCTGTGTTTTCTGAAATGCTGTGGCGTTTTGTGAAATGCTGTTCTGTTTTGTGAAATGCTGTTGTGTTTTGTGAAATGCTGTGGTGTTTTGTGAAATGCTGTTGTGTTTTATGAAATGCTGTTGTGTTTTATGAAATGCTGTTGTGTTTTCTGAAATGCTGTTGTGTTTTCTGAAATGCTGTGGTGTCTTGCACTTCAGGGCCACCGTACTAAACAATATATATGATTTCACTAGACTGCTTGTCTGGTGTACAGTATACTCATGGTGAAATTATTTGATATTTTGTAACAGGGCTTTGTGTTTGAAGTGATTATTCTTTTCAGACAATTGCACAAAAGTGGCTATACATTTTCACAGCGTGTTTGTCTTATCACTCTTCACCTGTTTTGTAGTAACAGGTTAAAAAAATTAGCACACTTAGAGAGTTTGGGGGCAATAAGACCAGATTTCTTACACTATCCTGCCTGATAAATACAGCATGGACTCAAATGAAAGAGTAAAGGTGTTATAACTTTAACACAGAGAAGTAACAATATAAAAGAAACAGAGAAACTGTGCCCCTTTAATTGCCTAAATTACATTTTCTTTCCCCTAATTTTCAAATTGTTTCTGACTATTCTATCATAATCTTGTCTCTAGTGTGCCTGTACAGTATGTGTGTGTGTACAGTGCAGTCTGTGTTGGACATTGTCTCCGTACAGTTCAGATCAGGTAGCTGTGCCCTCAAACATTGTGGCTTATCAGCTGCACCACAGGAATACACACACAGTGACACACACCTCCTATACCCACAACATTTAATCAGTGGCGAGCCGTCAGGGCCCTCTAGGCCCTCTGTGAGGGCCTAAGATATTCTAAAGAATAATATTTGAAAACATTAAAAAAAAACGTTTTTTTTTTAAAATATTTTTTTTAATAATATTTTGTTGTTACATTTTTCATTAGTTTTACCAAAATATTTTTAATATTAATATTTAATTGTATTTAAAATAATATTTCCAAAGAAATAAATCCTTCGAATCTGCCTGTTCAGTTCTCATTCATAACACTCCGTTCGATGTCTCACATCGCTCTGTGCACTAGATGGCGTCTATCAACTTCCGGCGGCTGGGTGTGCGGCTGAGTACTTCCGGTTTGAGTACAGAGTTTTTGACAGCTTGACAGTTTGTTGTCACACCGAGAGCAAGAATGAGCGGATTTTGGGGTAAAGAAAAGCGATTGGCCTTCCAGCGTGTAAGAAAGTCGGCACTACATTGCTGTGTGCCCCTTTGTACAAATTCGTCCCGTTATCAGAATCAGAATACCTTTAGTCCCACAGATGGGAGATTTGTAGCGTTACAGCAGGAAAGAGCCACAGACAGCTTAGTGTTGAATATCTTACATGCGTTAAAAAGTACTAAGTTATAATATAATAAACAATATGCTAAAAAAGTACTAAGTTATAATATAATAAACAATATGCTAAAAAAGTATTAAGTTATAATATAATAAACAATATGCTAAAAAAGTACTAAGTTATAATATAATAAACAATATGCTAAAAAAAAGGATAAAAAGTTACATAATTTTCAAAAATACAGAAACAAAAAAATCTACAAATCAAATCCTGTAGCAGTTCTT